GAGAACTAGACAAAAGTGTACAGTACCATTTGCAAAATTATTTAAACTGCCTCGTTAAAATTTAAGAATATGCTTTATTTAAAAGCATATTTAGCCAAAAATAATAACAAGTGAATTAACTTAACGTTCTACACACCTATAAAACTTTTGTTTTGTTTTCTATTCCTAATTTATATACATTTTTGTTTCAGGAAATTGCTAAACATTGTCGTCTAGTACTGTACAGTTCTAGCCGTTCTAGCTGATCACACTGCATTTCCAAGTACTGCGTGCCTTTCTTTAATGTACTTCACGAGGTGTAAGAGTGCTACCAAATTATACTATTTTGTACGCTGCGTAGTAAGACAGTGCGCATAAAATTTTGTCGTGTAGACAAGAGGATCATTAGTTTGACTCTGAAAATACCGAAGTTATGCGCGATCGCTGATCGCGCTACGTACGAACATGTTTTCTATCCTCTATTGGTATTGATGTTTTTAAAATCATAAATAATTGCTCCTGCATGTAGTCTCTGCTTGTAGTCTAGTATTCATGGTTTCTATTCAGACAATATCGAAATCGCAATCTCATAAGTTTTCTGTCATTTATTAGTCATGACGATTTTTAGAACCATCCGCATCGGGTAAAGTTTTTGGTCTCTATATGATCTTCTTGGCCTGGACGTCGTATGGATCGCGAGAGAATGGATCGATGCGTTGTGTAATACGCATTTGGATCCGTCTAACTTGGTTCAAGTTTTTGCGTGGTTTTCTTGGACTATTTAAGTAAATACTGGGGCAGTACTGTTCTCACGAAGACCAGCGATAGTAACAATAATTTAACCTGAAGTGGGTGGATCTCAAAAGCATAATGACTAATGAAATCGACTTGGATAATCTTAGTTATCAAACGCAAGACGTAAACAAAATCTTGCGCATCTCTCAAATAGGATGCCCACTGCCCAAACTACCACCGAGCACAACCTACAATTAGTGACGCTCTATATATACTCATATCCCTATTCCCAGCCTTCTTCACTATTCTACCGATAATAATAACTGAAACAGTCATAAATTTAGCATAAACTAATATTTTTCGAACCTATCGTACTCGTAAAAGCATCAAATATTTAATTCTTGCTAATCAAAAGGCGTTCGGAAGTAACTACATTACTGTGCATACCGCTGCGCTATAAACAAAAGCACTAATGCCATAATAAGAACATTTGTATTCTATAGCTTATAAATAGCCGTTTATAGTTTTCTTTGCAAGTGCAATAAAAAAGCGCCGAAATTGCATTTTTATTCAATAAATAAACAAAGGAAGCATTATACAGGTCGAAAACTCATCACTTCTAAATTTCTTGGATGCCTCTTTAGAAAGCTTCGTTTGTAATCTCAGAAAAACAATGCGCTCATAAAACACGAGTGAGTAATTTTATCTTTCGCCTTGTGCCTACTGACTAACTAGATACAATGTAAAAAAAAAAACATCATTCTGAAACGAGGTATATGAATTGCTGTCTATGACCTCTGAACCTGCTATTAGCAACAGGTAACTTATTGTTATGCTGATGAAGTACGCAATCCTTGGCAGTTTCACTTTCTGTCGCTGAAAAGGAATATAATAAATGTAAATGCGTGGGTGGGCGAGCGGTTAAAAATCCTTCCTTCTCCGAATGAGATGACGGGTTTGAATTTCGCGGCATATTTTAAATTCGAAACGCTTTTGACACCTGTTATTCCTTTCTACATGTACACACTGTACCGTAACTGACGGATTTAATGGCAGATTATACACAGCCTAAATCGGGTGACTTAGAGATTTGAAATTTGGAGGGATTATTCCTTAAGTAAGGAGGGATTTTTTCAAATTTATCCTTAAAGAGGCACCATTTTAGGGTTCAACTTTCAAATGAAAAGGTGTTAAAATATGACTAACTGACAAATAACATGAACATGAACTAGTGGACCCAGAAATTTGAAATTTGAAGAGATACTTGCTTGAGTCATTAGTGGTGGAGAAACGAGAGGGATTCTTCTCGAAAGAGATGATAAAGTAATAGTCTGACGAGCAATGCAAAATCTAAACGATGGAGTTCGAGATTTGAAATTTCGAAGAAATACTCCTTGTGTAGTCTAAGGGGTCAAATCTTAAAATTCAATCCCCAAAGGAATGAAAATGGTGTTGATGTGGCCGGCTGACAGACAACGCAGAACTGGTGCACCCAATGATTTGAAATTTGGAGAGAATATTCCTTAAGTCTTAAGGAGTGTACTAGGGAGGCGTTTTTCATCATCAAGGGAATGTTAAAGTAACAGACAACGCACAACTTAAATCATGGACCTAAAGAATTAAAAGGAAGAAATGTATCTTGAGTATTCTATGGGACAGTGGGCGCGGCAGAAAAGAAAAGGTTAGAAGCGTTCAAAATTTGGTGTTACAGGCAAATGATGAGGATACCGTGGATAGAGAAGGTTAGAAATGAAGAGGTATGAGAAACAATAGGATAACAGAAGACTGTATGGTAGTCAATAAGAAATAGGCGAGATAGGTTAGTAGGTCACCTTCTTAGGCATGAAGGTATAGTTAGGGACATATTAAAGGAAGTTAGGAGGGGTAGAGGTAGTCCTAGATAAGATTACTATTCGCAGATAGTTAAAGGTATGGGTTGTTCTGATTTTTGGGAAATGCGAAGATTAGCTCAGGATAGAAAAGAGTGAAGGTGCATATCCAACCAGTCTTAGGACTGACAACCTTACGATGATGATTCTAAGGGAGAACCAAACCGGTGAATTTGGAGAGAATGAATATTTCTTGAGTCATTAGGCGTGCGCTAAGAAGGGATTTCTTGAAAGTAATGAACCGACAGACAACACAGAATCTCAACAATGTATCTGAAAGAAATACAATCAGCCTAAATGAGGATCATTACCTATGACCATTTACTAAATATCGACTTACGTCTAGTAAATACAGGGTGTCTTGAAATTTTTGTAGGTGAATACGCCACCCCATTTTATTATATGAGATACAAGAAGCATATGGAAAGGGTTGCAGGTGCAGGTAGGTCTATCTACCGATAGATGGGTGTAGGTGCAGGTGGATCAGCCCAGAGTAGTTACAATTGTGTACATCTAATTATAGACATGTTGGTATTATTATTGATTTCATTTCTTTTACATTATCTTTTGTTGTTATACCTAATTGCCTTGCTTTATTAATTTGCACTGTTCATAGTAATAAATTTTATATCTATTTCACTGAAGCAATAATTTTGTTGATAATTCTCCATACATCATATATTAGAGAACAAGAAGATCCCTTAACAAAATTCTTATGGTTTTACATCTTGAACTTTGACTTGAAAAAGTAGAACAGAAACGTTACAGTTTGTTTTATTAGATGCTTGTCGTTCGTGCCGTAATTAGGCACAAAAAAATTGAGTGATAGTGAACTTATTTTTGCGACAATGTCACTGCCTTAAAATCTGGAGCAGAGCAAGGTTATTTTTGTACCTGGATTCTCCACTCCAATTATGATCGCGTATCAACGTATGCGCTAGAATTTAGATTCACTTTTAAGTCAGCTATTATTTTAATT